GGTTACTCTGCTGCCTCCCCAGCCCTGCACGCCCTGGCCACCCTGAGTTCTTCTCCTGCGCGAAGACACCCTATCTTGTCCTTTGAAAAGCAAGAGAGTAACGTGTTGTTTTTTAAAGTATCTTCTGTACGTATCCCACAGGAAGTTGACGTGCAAGAGCCACACTGCAGAAACGCCAGAACTCTAGACAAGTGGACTTTCCTTATCTATGACCCTGTGACCTGTACATAGCCCTGTGCTGTGTGTGTGTGTGCACATTGCTTGAGACTGGAAAGGTAGATGTGTGTTTCTCAAGGCTTGTTTGGGTTCATTTCTGTTCTTGTTGGGAATTGTAAGGTCTGTCCCCCAGATATTCCACACTGAGGAAGTGATCTTTTTCTCTCCAGTCCCTGCTTACCGCCTAGTCTCATGCACAGAGGCTGGGAAGGGGCAGTGAGCAGACACCTCCAGAGGCCAGAGGACCTCTTGCAGCTGTGGGTGGGGGCTTAGGGTGGCCACAGGAAGCCAGTCTGGGTGCCAGCCAGTATTGTTGTCAGAGCCTGGCACTACTCCCGATCCGTGTCCACAGTGCTGTAACCTGATTTAAGTCCTCCCATCTAAACCGGCATGCCTAGCACCCTCAGTCCCTCAACAGAAGAGTTAGGCACAAGCAGCCACCTTCTTTCCACAGGCTTCACTTGAACAGGGTCATCCTTGATAGAGGCCAAGGGTCAGGAATGGACTGGAAGACATGGGTTTGGTTTTCTGGTCAAAGGGTGTTTGCTATATAGAAGGGTTGTAGGCCTGAGGAACGGGGACTCTGCTGATCTTGTCTGACTGCGAGCGACATCAGTCAGAGTTTAAGATACTTCATCGATCTTATTTTGTGTAATGTATAGTCATATGTCATATGGTTGTATGAGAAAAATGATCACTTTATTCTTTGTATTAAAACTGTTGCTGTATAAAACATAGCTAGCTATAAAGCAGAAAATTCAGAAGCAGATGCTGGAAGGATGGCCTCCATCCTCAGGACACAGCAGCTCTGAGCATACCACTCTGCTGCTGTAGTCGTGAAACAAAGGCAGTGGAAGTCACAAAAAACGTCCCGAGCCCAGCCCCTGCCCTTCCCTCCCGCAGACTTTGTGTGTATTACTGTGTCTTGTGCTGTCTTCGCAAATGTGGTGTATGCCTTTCGCCTCCCACAGGTGACCTGTGCCCTTCTCCCTCGCTGACTCTAGAGTCTCCCTCCTCTCATTAGTTCTTAGTCCTGCCCCCACCCTTCTCCCTCCAGTGAACTTTTTTCCTTAAGACCCAACCATAGTAGCACTGGTTGATTTCTTCTGTAGCGGCTTTTTTTGTCCCTTCCTTCTGGTCAAGCAATGCTCATGCTTCAGGACCTTGTTTGTCGAACATGTGGGGTTTCCTTTATGTTATTTATATAAATAATTTCTCAAAAGGATATTTAAAAAAAAAAAAAAGAATAGTCTGTCTTGAAACTTGTTAACTTGAAATTCTCAAATCTCAGTGTTTAAAGTATGGAAGCACAACCATGTACCACTCTGTACCCGTCCTGTACTGCAGCATTTGAGTCTAATAAAGACATCATCGCTCACTCATGGTGCCAGGCCCACTGCAGAGCTGGTTTTACTTTGGGAGCTACGGAGGCTGGCCACCCCACAGCTGCGCCTTGGGTCTGCTGGAGGCAGGGGATTGCAACTTGCATAGCATCACATCTGTACCTGTCTCCCATTTAGGGACAAAACTTGTCTCTAGCCTCAGGCAGCAGGAATGCTGCCTTAGTGGGCATGCTAGCACTTACCTTTAGTTCCAGCACTTAGGAGGCAGAGGCAGGAGGATCTCTTGAGTTCAGCTTGGAACATGAGTTCCAGGTCCAGCCAAGGCAACATATTGAGACACTGTCAAATGAATAAGTAAAAGTAAATAAGGACTTGCGTAGACATGCGGCCAGCTGCTTTTCAACTTGTTCTTTCTGGAATGCCTCAGAGGCTGCAGGCCCGTCCCTACTTGAGCATGTAGTTCTGGTGTGTTCAGGGCACTGAGATGTTGGTCCCTCATTTGATGTCACTGCCCCCCCCCAGCCCATGTGTAGAAGAGCTTCATCCAGTTGGAAGCTGGTGTGGCCTGTGACCTGGAGGAGTAGACACCAAGTCAATATTACTGCGAAGCCGAGGACTCACAGGGCACAGAGCTGCTGTGGGGCTCATTAAATCCCTCCTGCTGAGGTCTGGATATGGCTTATCACTGGACATTCATGTGCTGGGGAGCTTGGCTCTCAGTGTGGCAATCTTGGCAAAGATTAAGGGAAATGACTGGGTTATCAGGGTCCTGGGTTTCACCAGAGGGCTGTTCTATATAGTCAAGCCTGGCTTCTGCCTCAGCCTCCCACAGCAGACTCCTCAAGTGCTGCAGCCATCAGCCATGAAGTGCTAGGCCCCTGGACCTCCAGGAGCACCTGACTAAGCCAGGCCTAGGGGCACAGGCTCATCATTCTTGCTGTTTAAGAAGCTGAGACAGGAATTTTAATTCCAGGGCTGCAGAGCAAATTCAAGGTCAGCCTCAGTGAGACCCTGTTTCAAGACTCTAAGATAAGAACTTGAAAGTTGGGTCTGAAGCCAGACAGAGAACACTTACCTAACATGTGAAGCCTCAGACTTCATCCCAGCACCACAAAACACACTGAAAAGCAGCTAATAAGTGCAGTGTAGAGCACTTACTATGATCCCCAGCACCCACACACAGGGTGAGTCACAACCGCCTGAAACTCCAGGGATCTGACTCCCGTCTTCTGGCATCCGTGGAACTGCACACAGACATGCAGGCAAAACATCCATGTACACACACAATGTTGTTTATTTTTTAAATCAACTAGATAAACTTCTGTATACATTACCCGGGTCAGTAACAGAAAACAACACCTTCGCTGCATGGAGGACTGTTTCAATCCAAGGCTACTTTGCAGCTCTTCACATGTATCAAGCATTTTTGCCCAGGGTGGTGGTGGTAGGGGCTCACACTAGGCAACAACTGCCCACCTTGCTAAGGTACCAATGACAAACCAAAGTTTGATTCCATCAAAGGTCTCCTAGGGAACCAATGGGTTTATTAAGCCTACTACTTACAGAGCCTGAGTGAGGGGTACAATTGGGAATGTGAGGAAAGAAACCCAAAGACGTCTCACCAGAATTGAGGTAGATGACTCCTCGTGACTACATAGATGAAGCCCTTTGCCCATAGTCTTCCTCAGCCTATGTACATTAGCTCCTTCCTAAGACCCTAAGGCCATATGCAGGTAGGGCAAAATTGCATACAGCTGCTTGGGAGGGATGGATACACACGTGGGTCCAGTGACACACTGCCAGCTTCCCCTCCTTTGAGGGAAGGTCAACAGTCAACAAGCTCGGCTGAGATGACCCCAGCAAGCAGGCCCACTCACCAAGATGGTGGCAATTTGCACATCCCACCCAGCTCCATCAAGACTTGCCTTGTAGGCAGAGAGTAGTGAAGACAGTATCACAATCATGTCAGGCCTCTCCTAGGCATGTGCTTGGTGGTCCCTGTCACTTTACAGGTGAGGAGGCTGAAGCTTGGGGGGGTGGGGTTTGCAGGGTTTCACAATGCTCACTCCTGGAAGACTTCAGCCAGCCAGTGTGTCCTGTCACCAGAATGCCTGGAATAAGATCCAACACAGGAACTTGAATTCTACACCAAGTAACTGTTGAAGCAGTGTAAATAAATATGTCTATTCCTCCCCTCCCTGCCCACCCCAGGTCTCCTGTCCCTCACACAATGGGAATGGCCCTTTAGCCTCTCTGCTGTTTTGAGGGCTTTGTTCACATACTCTTTGATGTTTTATTATCATTGTGTGCATGTGGAGGTCAGAGAACAACTTCCAGGCACCAGTTCTCTCCTTCCACCATGGGTTTTGGGTATAGAACTCAGCTCATCAGGCTTGTGAGACAAAATTACTGGCTTGTGTTTTCTTATTTTGAGACAGACCCCCGCTTGCCCTTGACCTTGCATTCCTCCTGCCCCTATCCCCAAAAGAAGCTGAGATTACAGGTGTATATGGCCACGCTTGGCTACCCTCTTATTTTTGTTTTGTATTTCCAGACTTCCTTTAGCACAGGCTTTATGTTAGTTTGCTCCACCCTGATCCCACCAAACAGCAAAGAAGAACTGGGACCCTTGGGTCACTTCTCCAAAAACTGTAGAATATTGTCAGAGGGGAAGACACTGCAGCAGGCCAGAACATGGTAAAAGCCCAGGGTACTAGCCTAGTAACCCTTGGACCCAGCCATGATCTGTGGTCGCTCTCCTCGTCTTTCCAGGGCAGGGTTTCAGCAAAGGTGCCCCTCTGTGTGTAACTCCAGGCATTCACTCCATGGAGTCAGAATGCTTGGGGAGTAAAGAGCAGACACTGTGACTGGGGAGATGACCCAGTGCTGAAAGGATAGAGTGCCAAGGGGCCGGCTAGGGCATCTTCTGTCAGCTCGATACCTACTGTCCCCCATCCTAAGGCTGCATGCGCCTCCTCAACCCCAGGGGCTTTCCCTCCCTACCATGCTGCAGCCAAGAACGAAGCTACAGAAAGAATTTTGTCTGCAATGGACAGATAAGAAATCGCGAGACTCCAGCCTGTGGCTGGGACACAGAAGGAGTGACAGGATGGTGGCATCCTAGCCTGGGGGTGGGGCAGTGATTGTTTCTTCTGGTCCACTCGGCTGGACTTCCATCTTCTGATTAGCACAAACTCCCAAAATGATGGGTAGCGATTTCTAGGGTTCTTGATGATTGCAATTAATTTATACCACATCATTTATTCCCATTTGGGGGAAGGGACAGCCTTCCTGGAATCCAAATTTGTACCTAAGAGCCTGGCATCCTACTGTAAAAGGCTGGGCCCAGGCCAGACATAGGCTCCCTATCCAGAAAACAACTGTGGCCCTTTAATACCCAGCCTCAGTCTGTTGCTATGTATGGAAGCAACTTCCTTAGCAACCACCTGGCTTCTTAAAGGGGACTTGAAACTGTGGTTGCCATCAGCCATGGCTCCCAAAAAGAAGCTGAACAAAGGCAGCAAGGAGTTTGAGGGAAAGAAGAAGAAAGGGGGCAAGAAGGATACTAGTGCGACCTTGAAGTCCCCAGAGCCAACCATGGTGGAGGAGCTGAAGGAATTCTACCACAAACAGATCCAAGACCTGGAGGAACGGCTGGCCCGGTGGGTGGGCAGCAGGGATGCCAGGGTGCCAGGCCAGAAGCCCACACAGGCTTAGATTTAGAAGTGGGTTCTGGCTTCCTATGGGATGTTCAAGCCCTGTCCATTTCCTCAAGTAAACAGGTACCACCTGTAAGTGGTGAATGGATCTCCCCAGCCCTTCACAGCTCCCAGCTCATGGGGAGCATATGGCTAACTAGCATCTCAATCCCAGGTACCTCCCCCTCCACCCTCCCAAAGCAGAATGGGACTTTTTTGGTTGGTTGGTTTTTTTTGAGACAGGGTTTCTCTGTGTAGCCCTGGCTGTCCTGGAACTCACGCTGTAGACCAGGCTGGCCTGGAACTCAAAGATTCACCGGCCTCCGCCTCCCAAGCGCTGAGATTAAAGGGAAGTAAAGGCATATGCCACCACCAGGCTCAGAGAGTATCTTAACGCACTATTAATTTAATCAGTGGTCAAAATTAGAAATGGCTCCCCCTGGTGGCCAGGGATGTCACTCATTCCCTCTTTCCTTATGCCAAGACCCAATGTGTTTCTCTAGGCAGAGATTTACCTAAGTGTATTTACTTTTAGAGACAGGGTCTTACTCTGTAGCCCAGGATAGCCTGACTCATGTTAATCCTCCTGCTTCATCCTCCTAAGTGTTGAGATTACAAGTGTGAACCACTACAGCTCCCTAAATGGGAACTAAAAAAGGGAATTTCCTATATGAGGCATTCCCTCTTAGGGCTGGGTTTGTATGTGGCAAAGATCTCAGAGAACACTCAACCAGAGGCATTGCATTTGCTCATCATTTTTTTTCTACTTTAAAACTAGTTTTTAAGGCCAGTGAGCTGGCTCAGTGGCACTTGCCACTCATCCCCAGGACCCACATGGTAGAGGGAGAGCTAACTGCACCAGGCTACCCTGACCTCCATTTGTACACAATGGCCCACATGCATGCACATACAGTCAGTAAACCCTGTGTTAAAAATGTTTCTAAAGATAGTTTCTGACCTGGGGACAGTGGTGCACACCTACAGCCTCAGCACTTGGAAGGCAGAGGCAGGATTGTTCTAAATTCAAGGCCAGCTTGAAGGCTACCCCATAATTTCTAGTCCAGCCTGAGCTATCGGACAAGATCCTGTCTCAAAAGAACAAAATCTCTGGGCGGTGGGTGGTAGTCCATGCCTTTAATCCCAGCACCCAGGGTGGATAAAAGCAGGAGGATCTGAGTTCAAAGCCAGTCTGGTCCACAGAGCAAGTTCCAGGACAGCCAAAGCTAAACAGAGAAACCCTGTCTTTAAAAAAAAAAAAAAAAAAAAAAAAAAGCTAACTTGCCAACAGTTATAAAGGGGCCCAGCCCCAGAGCCCCACCCCCACTTACAGCTCAGCAGCTAATGCACCTGCCACTCAAATGTGAGGACTGGGATTTGATTCCCAGCGCCACAGAAATGGGTAGGCATGGTGCTCACCTGTAATCCCAGAGTCTGGAAGGCAGAGATAAAGGATCCCAGGGAGCAAACCATGGAGACCAGTGACTCCTGAGCTCTTGGCTCCAGTGGGAGGCTCTGCTTCAATATATAAGGTGGAGTCTCACTTTCCTTCTATAAAGTGTCAACCTCTGGCCTCCACACACATGTGAATATGCTTCTATGCATGAAGACAAGTCTATAATAAATATGTCAGCAAAATACAAGGCAGCCCTGTTCACATGTTTAATGATGCAGAAGACCACAGGTGGTGTTTATTCTGTGTGAACTCAGGAAGCCAGCCCTGTGTTGTCTCCCTGTTTTGTACCAGTCCCAGAGAAGTGCAGCCAGGATTACTGAAGCCCAGGAAGAGGCGCAAGCAGGGTGACAACCCTGGCCTCTCTGACTCCTGTGACAGGCTGCTTTTTCTCCTCATATAGGCACTCATATCCTGAGGTGCCTTGTACACAGAACTCATTCAAAAGACTTAAATACCTACAAATACAACTTTGCAAATGCTTTAATTCTCCCATTTGAAACCAGTAAACATAGTATTCTTAAAATTTACAAATGCCCCCCCACACACACACACAGACTTGACCATGGGTTGAGGTTAAGGCCTCCAGGCATGAGGCACATTAGTAAATGAGGCTGGATTCAGACAATGTGGAACTTCAAATGGCCCTTAAACAAAAGGAGGATCCTTTACATAAGGATCAGGTTCAGTGGTGCCCCATAACCAGGCCCGGCCTGGCCTGACCCTGCACTTCCACCCAACCCAGGTATCAGCGGAAGTGGGATGAGCTGGCTGTGCAAGAGAAGCTCTTCCGCCAGGAGTTCGAGCAGCTGGCCAACAACAAGAAAGAAATCGTGGCCTTCCTCAAGCGCACACTCAACCAGAGGGTGGATGAGATCACGGACCTTAATGACCAGCTGCAGAGCCTACAGCTGGCAAAAGAGATGGAGAAGGACGCTTTTGAGGCACAGCTGGCCCAAGTGCGCCATGAATTCCAGGAGACCAAGGACCAGCTTACCACAGAGAACATTGCCCTAGGTGAGGAGACAAGGGACCAGTCAGCACACCTGTGTGAATTTGCCACTGAAGGCTACAGGGCCCAAACCCACAGCTGTCCAGTGAGGCAAGGCCTCACCTGGGAATTGGGGATAACACACTACCTTGAGTAATAACAGCTGCATGCTACTTCAAACACTATCTGCCTTAATTGCCCATGCATTCCCTAGGCCAGAAATGGTCCCCCTTCCCCTGTTTGTAGATAGAGAAGTGCTTCAAATAGATGGAGGGTCTATGCCACTCATCTGGAAGGGGGCCCTGAGACTTGTCTGCCCAGATTCAGCTGCAGCTGTCACTGGCATGTGGGGAGGTATCTTAAGAGGGGCTGAGCAAGACTAGTATAGCAGAAGGGGTGGGAAGGCACTCCAGAGAGGCTGCCTACGTGCGGGGCCAGTTCTGGCATGGAAAGCCTAGTTCTGTTGGAGCGGAAAGCACATGTGTGGGGGGAGGTAGGCAGGAAGACAGAGGCAAGGTTGAGACCTCAGAGGGGTATCACTCATGGCCCTCAGAGGCAGCTCCTAACCAGCCTTGTGGCCCCTGATGGGCAGGGGGGAAGCTGGCTGCCTTGGAAGAATTCCGGCTGCAGAAAGAGGAGCTCACTGACAAGTACCTGATGCTGGAGGAGCAGCTGCAGAAGCAAGAGGGCGAATACAAGGACTATGTGTACAACCTGGAGAAGAAGTCTGTGCTGGACAAGGACAGGTGGGCAGGCGGGGACCTGCCACACCGCCTCCAGCTCTCACTTTCTAAATGGGGACCATGGACTCCCCAAGATTATCCCCAAAACCCTTATTGGGATTTACTAGGAAGGGTAAGAGTAAGCTCCCAGCCAGTTTCCTGGGCTAGCACTTAACACTCCATCCTTTTGTCACTTGATATTTTAATTCTGTTTATTTAATAAGAATGTGGATGGTTCAAATTTCAAAGGCCCACAGATCCTCTGAGGAAAAGCCTGGGTACTCTTAAATCCCCACCCAAAAAAAGGACTTATATTCATCTGTTTGACTTCCTTCCAATCCCTCCCTCCTGGTCAGGCTAAGGAAAGAGATCATCCAGCGTGTGAACCTGGTGGCTACTGAGTTCCGTAAGGTGGCCACTAACCAGATGTGGGAGACAACCAGGCGGGCCATCCTAGAGAACAACAACGTGACATTGCAGCTGTCCTGGGTGTCTCAGCAAGGTGTGCAACTGCTTCAGGAGAATGAGCAGCTCAAGGGCATCCAGAATAAACTGTACCAACAGGTGGAGCTTCTGGAGAACACCCAAGAGATCATGGCCAGAAACAACAGAGGCCATCAGAAGGTATGACCACCATGCCCTCCTCGTGTGCAATGAGAGTGGACCCTGTGCCAGAGCCAAGCCATGAGGTACTGGGGTGGGGGGTTGCAGTGAGGGCCCAGGCTTTCCTTGTGGGGATGCTGGCCCTAGACCTGGAGTCTGCTCTCAATCCCCCATACTGAGTGGATCCCACTGCCTAGCTGTGGGTGGTGCTGACCTGCCTGTATGTGGGAAGCCAGTCCTAGCTGTATCTCCAGGAGGGAGGTAGGCTGTAGTCCCACCGTAGGTCAGGCCTGCACATGGGCACCTGCCCACGGCTGCAGGTCATCCTCATGCTGACAGAGAAGTGCCGCCAGCAGAGGCAGGGCACAAAGGAGGCAGAGAAGCTGCGCCTCCTGCTGTCCAAACTGGAGCAGAACTTCCAGAAGCTGCAGAAGGACAACCAGACCCTGAGGTGAGCCTGAGTTGGGCAGAAGCAGGTAGACGCCTGCCAGGGAATTCCCTTGCCTATAGCCTCAGGGTTTGGTCTATCAGACAAGTTGAAGCCTGGATTTAGATGGGCTCCACAGAAAATGCAGGGCCTGGGGAAGAGGTGGTGCTGGCCAGAACCAAGAGATGGGGCAAGCTGTGGGCTTTATCTTGTCCTGGACCAGAAGTGAGAAAGACCTGCTGGAACAGCAGCTGAGCAAGCAGCAGGCAGAAGTGAACCGGCTACAAGAGGAGCTGACTGAGGAACAGAAGGTTCGGGACAGGCTGGAAACAGTCCTGGCCCAGGCCACCTCCCTCCTACAGGACGTTGTGCAAGTGAGCAAGTGGAAAGAGATACCATGAGGCCAGTGGACCCACAGGGTCGAGCTTAAGGGAGCCTCCTGGCCAGATTCAGACTCCTTTTCTGACTTTGGACCTAAAACATCCATTCAACAGTTGGGTTTGCTTTTTTATTTTTGCTTTGTTTTGTTTTTTGAGACAGGGTTTCTCTGTAGCTTTGGAGTCTGTCCTGGAACTAACTCTGTAGACTCAGATCTTGATCTCAGATCCACATGCCTCTGCTTCCTGAGTGTTGGGATTGAAGGTATGTGCCACCAAGGCCCAGCTAGGTTAGCTCTTTTAAAATGCATAATAAAACTGGTTTTTACTTGTTTTCTCCTTTAAGGTGCAAATTAAAACTGATTTAAAAAAAAAAAAAAAAAGTTGGGTCTGATCATACCAGCTACTGAGTAGGCTGGGGCAGAATTACAGAGACCTGACTGGGTCTACAGATTGAGTTCGAGGCCAGCCTAAGCAACTCAGCGTCTTAAAAATAACAAGGCGAAGTGTGACACTGCACACCTTTAATCCTAGCACTTGGAAGATGGCTATCTGGGCTATTGGTATTTACTCCATCTTACATCATACCAACAGATGAGAACAGATACAGAGGATGGTGACTTTGACTTAATGCTCCAACTGCAGCGCAAGGAGCTGCTCCAGCAATTGCTGGCTCTGCTCAGCTCAGCTATGGTTTCAAAACCACAGCTGGATGTGGCTTGCCACCTGGACCAGCAGCACCAGGGCCCACCCAAAGAGAGGTGAGCAGATAGCCCTGTGGGGGCCTCAGCAGATCCTAGCTCTCCAATCTCTCTCAGAACCTCAGCCTCCTCTTGTGATATCGGAGGTGATGACCCCGGATCCCTTCCCACAGCCGAACCAGTGCCCAGAAACCCAGGACAGCGGCAACTTCTCTGCTGCAGCAGCTTTCTGCCATCACAACCTATAAGCCAGGTGATCTAGGGCTGGTGCCTCGACGGGTCCATATCCCACCCAACCCCCAGGACCTCAGGTCTCTCTCATACGTCACTCGGATGGGCATCTGCCAGTTACAGAACACTAATGAGGTAGGAGTGCCGGGAATCCTGGGGACAGCAGGCTGACAGCTGGCCCTAATTTTTCCATGCTGTAGAGTTGAGTGGCTTTAAGGCTAGTGGGACCTCTCTGACCCACCCACCCTGTAAAATGGCCTAACAAAAACAGGCTAAGACATACATACCTCCTATGCTACCCTTGGGAGAGGGTTTGCTAGACCCTTTTATCCCCACACCATTGGTAAGGAATGGGTTATGGGGTTAGCCCCCTGCCTCAAGGAGGCTTCAGATTTCAAGCAAGCATCTTTTAATCTTGCAGATCAGCCCATCTGGTGCTCTCAAAAGATTCAGAAAGTTCAGCATTCCTAAACCTTTCCTACACCGTAAGTAGCACATGGAGACCAAGCCACAGCAGAAGAAATAGACTGTGGCCCTCCTTCAACCTGCAAGTAGCCTGGGGCAACCCAGAAGTTACATAAACAGTGGGTACCAAATGTGTCATGGCAGTTCTGTGGCTGTTTCTGGGCTTCAGGGCACCAGCACGCACTCAAACAGGTAGATATGTCCACTGGAGTCAGAGGCGCGAAGGTGGTTCCTGGCTTCGAACACGGATGTGGTCCAGAAGCAGGTCGGTGGCCTGATCCAGCAATGGGGATAGTAGCTCCTGCTCCTCAGGGGAGAAATAGCCCAGGACATGGGCAGCCACCATACTAGGGTTTGTGGGGCGCCCAATGCCTACCCGTAGCCTCGGCATTGCCTGTGGTGGTACCAGAGGAATGAGGGGGCCTTGGTGAGATACATTTGGGACCATGCTGGCCACCCCCACCCAGGGCAGGGCAGAAATGGGAAACTCACATTGGAGTTCAGACAGCTAATGCAGGAACGGACTCCATTGTGGCCCCTTGAAGGGATATGAGAAGCAGTTAGTGCTTCCTGAGGCAGGCCCCTCACTTCCCTTGCTCAGGGTTCCTTCAGAGCAGCCCAGCCTATAGTTAGGCTCAGCAACCCTACTCCACCCCAACAGAGGCCAGCATCCCTACCCCAACCTAAGCACATGCCAGCCTCACCTTGCACTGCCCCCCAGCTTCAGAGCCAGCTTTCCCAGGGGCTTGTCAAGTTCATCATGCACCAGATAGATCTCCTCCGCAGTCAGCCCAAACAGCTCCGCTGGCACAGGGAAACACCCTAGTTACCACCTATCTGCTCAGAGGGATCACAAGGACTCCCATATACAAACAGGCTCTCAGCCAAGCACTTGGAAGGCAGAGGCAGGCAGATTTCTGAGTTCAAGGACAGCCTGGTCTACAGACAGACTGAGATCCAGGACAGCCAGGATTGTTTCACAGAGAAATAGTGTCTCCAAAAAAAAAAAAAAAAAGAAAGAAAGAAAGAAAGAAAGAAAAAAAAAAACCAGGCTCCTCCCCAAGTCTACACTGTAGTAACTGGGGCTCACCAGGGACATGTCACAGTTGAAACCCCTCTCTGGTCCCTGTACTCTTTTATGAAGCCCACAACTCACCAGCTTGGGCCACACTGCGCCCATTGACGTTCATGAGGCGTCGTGGCCGGAGTAGTACCAGCTGGGCATCCCCAAGAGGGGCCAGGGCGAGGTCAGCATCGCAGCGAGGGTCACGAGCCCAGCTCTCCGCCACTCCCAGGCGCCGCGCTATTTGCCCCAGCACTGCCATACCCACGCTGTGCCGCGTGCCAGGCATTCCATGGTTCCCCAGGCCAGCCACCTGCAGGCAACACCACAGAAAACAGACCGGATAATATATCACATAGGATCCAAAACAGTGTTCAGGAAATGGAGAAGAACATCAAGGTCGGGAAGAAGCGCTTATGGGCCTGGGGACTCCAGGCGATCCCACAAAGCCAGGAGTGCTGCACTCTGGTGCGGGAGCAGAACTCCTAAGTTTGGAACCGGTCATCTACTTAACTAAGTAGAAAAATTAAAACTGACAAAGAGCCCGGCAAGATGGCTCAGAAGGTAAGGGCACTTGCTGTCCTAACCTAGGTTCGATCCTCGGGTCCCACATGGTAGGAGACAAACCAACTCCCAACTTGTCCTCTGACAGTCACACGGCACATGCACACACAAATGTCACCTAAAAATTTAACTATTAAAAAGGGGGTGGGGCTGACAAGGAGCTTGGGAGAGTTTACCCGGGAACAATGGCAGCATCGGAGCCCAGTCCCGAATCCCTGCGTAGTCACCATGCCCCACTCACCAGCCACCGCTTCCCGGGGAACCGGGCCTCCGAAATGCACTGCCTCAAGGCCCAACTCCGCCGCATCCTGGAGCGAAAAAGGCCGGACCACAACATGCTGCCCCAATTCACAGCCAGGACCCCGCCCCTTGACGTCAGGGAGCTCTAAGCCAATAGCATCGCACATGTCCAGGAACGGCCAATCCGAGTTCGGCGGCCTCCATGTTTTTGCGGGGCGGAAGCGGGCGGGGCGCCGGCCACGGAGGGCCTCTGAGTGCTTTACACTGCGTCGCGTCACCCTGTATCGTCCGCGCCTCCTTACGTTTTCACCCTGCCCAGCCTCGGTGCGCTCAGCCCGCCGGTTCTTTCCTTGACGTAGGCCTTGGCCTGCCCAACTACGTTTCTATTCGAGGCGTGGCCAAATGGCACTCTGGGCGTCCTGGAGCTGGTGCCTAGCAACAACTGAGGCAGGGATTTAGGGAGTTGGCTCAAGACAGAGGTCGGTCTGGAGACACGTCATGACAGACAACAGCAAGGTGAAGGCGGTGGTGGAGGAGGAAACCGAGGCAGAGAAGGTCAAGCCCTTGGGAAGGCCTATGAGAGTCCATCGTTTGTTCTGTGGGAGGGGAGAAGAGTGACTGGCCTCCTCCTCCAAAAGGAGAGGGCAGAGAGGTTTTGTTTTTTTCTTTTTTTGGTTTTTCGAGACAGTGTTTCTCTGTGGCTTTGGAGCCTGTCCTGGAACTAGCTCTTGTAGAACAGGTTGGTCTCGAACTCACAGAGATCCACCTGCCTCTGCCTCCTGAATGCTGGGATTAAAGGTGTGTGCCACCACCACCTGGCTGCAGAGAGGTTTTAAATTGTCCTATTTCTCTGTGTAGCCCTGGCTGTCCTGGAACTTGCTCCGTAGACCAGCCTGGGTTTTACCTCAGAGACCTGCCTCCCTCTGTCCTGTGAATGATGGGATTAAAGGCACATCCCGCCACTGCCCTGCTTGCTTTGTTTTTTATAGACAAGAGTTTCATTATGTAGACCAGGCTGGCCTCTGACTCTCAAGTGCAGGTTGTTAAATGTTGGAGCTCAGATGGTAAAATATCCTGGCACTCAGGCGCCAAGGAATACCACAAAATCACCGCAAGCATTGCAATTTACAGATTTCCCCAATGCAAGTGTAGTCTCTGCTCCAAAAGTGTTAGAGCTCTGCTCCTCTAGGGGAACGTTTCCCCAACAAAAGTGTTACAACTCTGCTTCCTCTGGCTCTGGCAAAAGTTGTTACAGCTGGGCTCAACTCAGGCAGAAATGTCACACCTCACTACAAACCTCCCTCAAGAGATTTATTAGGAAGGGAAAACCAGAAGGGTGGCTGCTTCCGGAGTGAGAGGCAGCCCAAAACTAGGTACAGAGTTTATATCTTGGGGATAAAGTTGCATCTTGGGGAGGGGGCAGTGCTGAAATTTCCAGGGTGGCTCGGGATTGGTGGGTTTTATAGCCTGGTCTCAGGGATTGATGGGATTTCAGTCCCATCCCGGGGTCAGGTTTTTTTCCTTGGTCCAGGTCTCCTGAGGGCCTAGTTCAGGGCAAGGTGTTTTTGCCTTTGTCCTTTTCACCCTACACAAGTATTAAAGGTGTAGTCAGTACAACTCAGCCCAATGGAGAGATTTTAAGGCGTGAAACTCAGGACTTAGGACAGATGATACATAGGTCCCTGATCCTGGTGACAATGGGAAGCGTAACCAAAGTGCTTGCTCAGTGTGACCTGCTGGGTGTGAGAGTCCCATGGGATTTACAAGTAACCTCAAAGCCCAGATGTGGAGTAGGGTCTGAGCTGGGGCACTGAGAATACTGGGCAGCAAAAGGTGAGAACAGGCAAAAACCAAGAGGAGAACAGAGGTGCAGTGGCTACGAGGTCTCTCGTCCCCTTGATCCTGACCAGGGCTGGAGACATGCTGGGACATCTGAAGACCAGCTGAACCCCAGACTGGGTGTGCCTTCTACCAGGGGGCTTTCCCACACCACCTCCACCACCAGGCAAAGTCCCTGGAAAAGTGTAGAAGTGTTGTGGGGTGGTCCCTGGGGTCTTCCAAGCTTATTGCCTCTGATTTGGTTCTAGGAGCCTGACAATGCCCACTCACAGAAAATCCCAAAGCTCCAGGTCCGTGAGGCCCGAGAGAAGATCCTGCAACGTATCTTTGGGACCAGCCAGGTGTTCTACAGTGTTAGTGATATGAAACCAAGGATGACAGGGTCAACAGTGCCTGTCAAAGTCAGAGAGTAGTGAGTGACTTCCCCGCCCCCAGCCCCAGGTTCCTGCTCCACACAGCCATTAACGTGGAGTACAGCCCTGAGTTGGCTACTGTCCCTTTCTGGGCCTCAGCAAACCCTGATGGATAAAAGGAGGAAAAGCTAAGAGATCCAGAAAGGCCAGCCTGCCCTCCCTGGAACTCTGCTTACTTTCCAGCCTCTTTACCTCAGCCTTCCCTCCCACCTAACCCACTGTAGCCCTGAGGACTTCCTAGGCTGGGCCGAGATCAAAACCAGCCCCACTGCCCAAACTCATGTGTCCTTACAGCTATCACCAAGGCCATCAGTGCCTAGAACAAGAGGACTGGGAGATGGCTGTGCTTTTCTTCTCCCGTGCTCTCCACCTGAACCCCAAGCTGGTAAGAGGAGAGAGAGAGTCACAGTGGCCACTGGAAGCCCCTCCCTCACTGTCACACCTGCCAGGCCCTTCCTCCCAGGACCATCAAACTCTTTTAAGCCTTGAGGAACCAGAACAGTCACCCTTCTTGCTCTGAGGGGCAGGTGATAGAGAGGACACAGCAGCCTGGGTCTCTTTGCCTTCAGGTTGACTTCTATATTTTCCGTGCTGAGGCCTTCATCCAGCTCTGCGACTTCTCCTCTGCCCTGCAGAATCTTCGCAGGGCTTACTCCTACCAGCCAGAGAATAGCAAATACCTGGAGCGACTGGCCTTTGTGCTCTACCTGCAGGTGCCAGTGCTCCCACCCACACAGCAGAGCAGACCTTACACAGGGAGCCTTCCTGGAACCCGATCTCAGTGCCTGAGGACTCCTGGTCCTGTGTCTGTGTCCCACCCCACCCACACTTGTTGCCCCTCACTGGTTTACTAATTTAGACAGCTAGGGGTGTCTAAATAGAACTCTGCAGTAAGGCTATGATCTACTCTATACTGTCCCAGTAGGGTCGCCACCAGCCATATGGACATGTTGAGCTATCAAAATGGGGCGAGTATGACTAAACTAAATTTTAAATTTGATTTGTGTGTCAGTAGGGGTGTGGCTCAGTGGAAGGATGACTACCTTGCATACAAGTGGCTCTGGGTCCCATGCCTAGTACTAAGTAAAAAGTTAATTGCCTAAAATGTATTTTTACATATATTTATTTTGTGTGTGTGTGTGTGTGTGTGTGTGTGTGTGTGTACATTTGCATGCACAGAGTCATCTCACTACCCTCAACATTTTTTTTTTTTTTTTTTGAGACAGGGTTTCTCTGAGTAGCATAGAATTTGCTGTCCTGGAACTAGCTCTGTAGACCAGGCTGGCTTCAAACTCACAGAACTGCCTACCTCTGCCTCCTGAGTGCTGGGATTAAAGGTATGTGTCTCCATAGTTTCAACGATATCTGGGTCTTTTTTTTTTTTTGAAGGCCAAATATTGGGTAGAGGTGGAGTTGGGGTGTAGCAGTGGTAGAGCATTTGCCTAGGCAAGGGCCTCAGTTAGACCAAATCACTCAGTTTCTACAAAGAAGCTTTAGAGCAAGTGAGGTGGCTCAGTAGGTAAGGTGCTTGCCTCTTGTGCTGACAACCTGAGTTTGATATCTGAGGCCTACATGGTAGAAAGAGAACTGACTCCTGCAAGTTAGCTAGGACTTCCACATGCGTGTTGGGATAGGTGCCTGCCCCCCACTCATACTCAAAACAAATAAATGTAATAGAAAAGAAACCTTGAACCAGACATGGTGGCTCAGGTTTACAATCTAGCACTCCAGACACTGAGTTCAAGGTCTGCCTAGGTTCCAGGTCAATGTGGCCTACAGTGTGAAACACTGTCTAATAAAAGAGAAGGAGAAGGGGGCAGTCCTCAAGGCACTCAAATAACTGTCCACGTTGTCAAGGGCCCGTGACCTGCCATCTCACTGCCAAACTTTTGGCCAAAGTCAGCTGCTCTCACCCACTGTCCCACTCAGTCTCGTTGCTGTGTCCCTCTGTCCCTTGGCATCTCTACAGCTCTGCATCTCTTTCCGTCTGTCTCTTGAAGTCTCTGCCCAGGTATCTCTCAAAGCAGAACTGACCATCCTGTTTCCTCAGGGTCAGTGCCTGTATGAGCTGTGTGACTTCCAGGAAGCCCTGTATATCTTCTTGCAAGCCTCTGATCTCCAGCCCCAGAACCCTTCCTTCAGTTACCGCTGGTGAGTGTGAAGCACCTTCCCCTTGCCCAGCAGCCTCTTACTACCTCAGGCTCAGTGCATCCTGCCCTCCATCTGCCCCCAGCATAGCCTGCCTGCTGGCCCTCAAGCGGCATCAGGACTGCCTCTTACTGGCAACCAGGGAGGTGAAGCAAGGCAGGGCCACTGCTGATGTTTATATCCTCCGGGCCCGGATCTACAACTTCTTCCAGAAGGTAGTGCACAGTGGGCTGGGCAGGTGTGGCCTGGAGCCCCCAGTGGGTCCCAAGGTCATAGAGGAGGCTAGGCCAGTTGGAAGTCTCATCCCTATAAGTTCACACAGAGCCTGAGGATCCTGTCACTGAGGTATCTGTCCTTCATCCCTCAGCCCTCACTTTGTGCTAGACAGTATTGTGCTCTCTGGTAACCACGAAAGGGATGGGGGAGTGAGTGCATCATGTTATCCCTGTTTCTTTAGAGCTTGTGACTGGGACATGGGGATCAAACCTGTGTAAAGGGTTTGCTGACTGAGTCCTCAGCCAGGGACTCCCCAGCCCTCAGCTGTGTGGCACCCAGGACACCACAGACATTAGCTGATGCAGTCAGTCCTTCTCTGTCTTGCTTCCTTTCTTTCTTTTTTTGGGAGTGGGGCTGGTTTTTTTGAGACAGGGTTTTTCTGTGTAGCTGTCTTGGAACTCACTCTTTAGACCAAGCTGGCCTTGAACTCAGAGATCTGCCTATCTGTACTGGGATTAAAGACATGGGCCACAATGCTTGGCATCCTGCTTTCTTTTCCTGTTTGCACAGTGGAAAAGTCCTAGAGCTCCTGGTCTCCCTGCTGGGCTGAGCCAGGACACAGAGAGTGCCAGGGGCAGCCTGGGGACAAGGGGTGTATGGTCACAGGGAGTAAGTTAAGGAGAATGTAGGCAGAGAGAAGGAGCCTGCAAGTCTTCCTGGGTAGAGTGTTCCCTGGGGCAGTGACCTCTGGGGAATGGTTCCAGCTGTGGAGACTGTCAATGGGGAGGGGTGGAGTGCAAGAGGATGGGGGTGGGGGATTAGCTGAGGAGTGGACCTGCAGTGCTGTGGCAATGGAAGGAAAGAGGCTCCAGAAGAATGTGCAGTGCAACCAGATGGGAGGAGCCAGAGAGGATGCAAGGAAGGGGAAGGGTAGATTTACTTCTTTTCACCAGGCAAGGAGGGGGGGTAACTAAGTAAGGGGACCCAGACAGGCTCTAGTCAGAGGCTGGGCTTTAGTGTCACATAGTGTCACACAGGTGACTCAGTGGGAGTCCCCTTCAAAGGCATGAGTGTATTAACCATCAGTGTTTATTGCTGACTCCACCTCCACACCTGTCCCATGAAAGGCTGTTCTGAACCCAGATCTTTGTCGAGGTTCATCCCCAAGACTGCTGGGACCCCTTGGAGGAAGGTGAACAGTAAAGCAACCCAGAGATGACCTGATCAAGGCCATATAGCCGGTTCTCCAACCTGAACACATCTCAGCCACCCTCTCACACTGCCCAGTCCTCCCAGTGTGCCCTCCAACCAATTACCCAAAGGAGAGTGGGGGCTTGCTAAGACTGTGGAGTGACCAGCCAACTGCACAACAGTGGCAAGCATTTGCCTAGGGATGTTCTTTGCTCATACCAGACCTCAGTCTGTCCTTGGTGTAAAGCTGCTATTGGTGTAAAGGGCAGGGAGTGGAGGAGGATGCAGGAGGAGGATGAGGCAGCACATTGATTGCCTTCTCCACACAATTCTTGATATGAGATAACAAATTAGCACAAACCAGAGGCTGACCCACCTCACTGAGGTCACGCCTGGAAAGGAGCTACTAATGTTGAGGCTGGGGATGGATTTTCCTCAATGTTTCTGCCTCATTCAAGAGGTCGGGAATGTAGAACCGTAATGCAGGGCACATGGGAGGGATGGTATGATGCTAGCTTGTCACCTAGAGGCCTGCCCTTCTCTACCCCCTACTGTGATAGTACCATGTGATAGTACCCTCCACCCCTGCAGCCCAAGCTCTGCTATCAGGACCTTCGAAGCGCCTTGCTCTTCGATCCCAAGCACCCACAGGCCAAAGGGCTGCTCCAGATGATGGTGGACCAGGCCAAGCAGTCCCTCCAAGACGCCAGCATCCTGGCTGTGCAGGGAAAACTGCACCGGGCACTGAAGTGTATCAGCTGTGCCATTGAGAACAACCCCCTGGACCCCAACCTCTTCCTCTTCAGGTACCAGGGTGGAGAGGAGCTGGTCCTCCTGCAGATCTGTTGTATGGTCTCAGGAGAGCCTCTGACCCTTCCCAGGCTTCAGTTTCTCTCTCTAGTGCCTAATAACCTTCACCTGCTTTCAACTGGGGGTAGTCTCCCATAGACTCCCATAGAGGTAGTCTCCACAATAACCTGGGAATACTGCCCCAGCCATGCCTGCTGAGTAGTTCATGCTGGGAGGGCATGAGACTAGGAGTTGTATCTGGTCTCCCAAGGATTTGGTGCCATTCAATCTCCCTAATTCTGTTTGGTTTTTTTTTTTTTTTTTTTTTATCTAAATGGTTGCCTAAAGTGTGTGTACACACAGGCACGAACATAGGCTTGTGAGGTGGCTCAGTGGGTAAAGTAGCTTGCAGAACAAACCTGTTGACCTGAGTTCAATTCCCAGAACCCACATAAATGTGGAAGGAGAGAGCTAACTCCTGAACGTAGAGGCTGGATCCCCAAATGGAAAGTATCAGTGAGAAATAACAAACACTAGTGACTAATAGGTTGTCCAGGCAGCAATAGTGGGCCAGCACCAGAGGACAGACCTAGGACTTTGAGGCAGAATTCATGAATATAGTCAAATATCATGGATCAGAAGGCCTAGGGTGGGCAGTGGCCTTCTAGCCAAAGAGGATGCTTTGGTCCTTGTGTCCTCCCTACCTTGTGTCCTCCCTGCTATCTGTCATGTCCACTACCATAGGGGTACCTTGCTCAGAAGGCTCCAGCAATTTGACCCAGCAGTGGAAGACTTCCTGAAGGCACTGGACATGGTGACTGACAGCCAAGACAACCTGGTGCAGAAGGCACAGCGCCAGCTGCTGCTGACCTACAATGACTTTGCTGTGCACTGCTACACCCAGGGTGCCTATCAGGAGGGTGTGCTGCTGCTGAACAAGGCCATCAGGGACGAGCAGAACGAGAAGGGCCTGTACATCAACCGTGGGGGTGAGCTGAGTGGTCAGGCCCTAGCTAATGCCCGAGGCAGCCAGGCTGGGTCTTGGCTTTGCTCTGGGAGTTGGGGATGAACTCGACCTCACCCTCCTCTCCTAGACTGCTTCTTCCAGCTGGGCAACCTGACCTTCGCGGAGGCGGACTACAAGCAGGCGCTGGCACTGAGCCCGCAGGACGAGAGAGCCAACCTACGAATGGGTGTGCTGCAGGAGAAGATGGGACTCTGTGAGCAGACACGAAGGTGTCTGGGGTGGGGAGGGGTGTGCCCTGGGAGGGTGTGATGTGAAGGCATAGCTAAGGAGGGTGACTGGCAGGGAATGGGCCTATCAGAAGCCACCTATTAGTTGTCTCCTGGACAGAGATGTTGTGCTTTGTTTTGTTTTGTTTTTGTTGTTGGGTTGTTTTTGTTTTTAATGGTTTTTCAAGACGGGGTTTCTCTGTGTAACAGCTCTGGCTGTAGACAAGGCTGGCGTCCAACTCACTGAGATAATCCTGCCTCTGCCTCCCAGGTGCCACCCCTGCAGTCGGCCTTAGAAAGTATTTTCAAGGCCTACCTACTCTCCCAGAAGCCTCCCTCTAAAGATCCCTCTAGACTTAGGTTGATTTCCAGCACCCACATGGCAACTCACAGCCATCTGTTACTCCAGTTCCAAGTGATCAAGCATGTAAACGGTTCCCAAACATACATGTAGGCAAAACACCCACACACATTTAAAAAAAAATGTTAGCAAGAGGCTGGAGAGATGGCTCACTGGTTAAGAACACTAGCTGGTCTTCCAGAGGTCCTGAGTTCAATTCCCAGCAATCACATGATGGCTCACAACCATCTGTAATGAGATCTGGTGTGCTGTGCAGGCATACATTGTATATAAATAAATCTTTTTTTTAAAAATGTTATCAATAAATGTAGTGGTCCGTGCCTTTAATATTAGCACTTGGGAGGCAGAGACAGGTGGACCTCTACAGAGTGAGTTCCAGGTATAGGCTCCAAGCTACACAGAGAAACCCTGTCTCAAAAACAAAACCAAACCCTGAGGTAAAGAAAACAAAGTGGGCTTGGTGCACATGCCTTTAATCCCAGCACTCAGGAGGCAGAGGCAGGAGGATCCCTGAGTTCAAGGCCAGCCTGGTCTACAAAGCAAGCTCTAGGACAGCCAGAGCTGTTATAGAGAAAAATCCTGTCTTGAAAAAAAAAAAGGAAGAAAGAACGGAAAGTATCAGAGTACACCAAAGTTATAGTATCCGAAAGTGTCAGGTCCACAAAGGGTGTGGTTGGGAGTGGGAGGGAGGAGCATGGCAGGAAAAGAGGCCCCTGGTGTTCCTTCAGCTGCTTGGTGCCCATTCCTCCTGGGTGGCCCAGCTCACGACAACCTTGGGCATGTCCCTCAGGCAGTTCCAGAAAGCGGAGGACCACTTCTCAGCAGCCATAAAGCACAACCCTGAGAAGGCCCAGTACTACCTGCACCGGGCCAAGAGCCGACAGCTCCTGCAGAACATTTTGGGGGCCCGCCAGGATATTGCCACTGTGCTGCTCCTGAACCCCAACTATCCAAAGGTGGGCTCCTGCTGAGCCAGGAAGACTCACACCCTTGCCAACTGACTACTGTTCCTGCCCCTAAAAGAAACGGGTGACAATGAGCTGATACTCTCACTAGCCCTCCTCTCCACCAGCATTATCCCTCCATTCCATCCACAGATACAGAATGAGACTTGTACAGGTCCAGCTGCTCTGAAGCTAGGCTCGGCTCCCCATTAGGGAACGGTCCATTTTTCTTGGTTTCCTACTCCTTCTGTAGCAAAAGGCCCCAGTTTAGAAAGTTTGCAGAAGCCTTCCCTGTTCATCCCTGAGGGCAAGGTAGCATCAACCCCCTGTTCATTGTCCAACTCTGGTCACCATTTCCCTGGCAGATGGGCCCAGTGATGACCAAACTCTTTCCTGGTATGTCTGTGGAGGAAGTGCTTAATAGCCAAGTGGCCCAACTGGCCAAGCTCCAGCTAAGTCGGATGATAGAAAATGGTCCGAAGGCCAGCCACCCACAAAGCATTGTGGCGTAAGGTTGTGGGACCTCTGGCTAGTGGCGGGAGCAGGTGGGGAACTCAGAACTCTGGCCAGTTGCCTCATAAGGCCTGCACTGTCTGGTCCCTGGGGACAGCAGGCTGGATTCCAGAGACTGATTAAGGGTCCTGGGACTGTGACTTGATAGGAAGAGATTAATGGAGCGCCAGAGAGCCAGAGCCTTGATGAAGTCCTGGAATTGGGAGCAGCTTTTCACTGAGATTCCAGACGAGGAAGTAGCTGCTTCCCAGATCCCACAGGGAAAGACCCCAAGAGACAAGACTGAACTCAAGAGAAAGGGAACAGAGGAGAAAAAGGTGAGTGGAACCTACGCCAGGGCCTAGACCCTTGGAGTCTAGTGTGGCTGACCTCATCTGAGATGGACACAGCAAGGGTGCCCTGTGAGTGCTGACTGTTTTCTTAGCAGGAGAGTAATATGGTCAGACTTGCTTCCCCCAACCCCTCCTCCCTGTAAGGGCTCTCTGTGTAACAGCCATGGCTGTCTTGAACTCACTCTGTAGACCAGGCTGGCCTCAAACTCAGAGATTCACCTCACAAGTGCCAGGATTGCACTCTGCATTAACACAGTGCATCTAGAACTTCAGCACAGGGGCCTGGGGATGTAGCTCTGGCTCAAGTGACATAGGACATGAGGGCCTTCCCCCATATAGATGGCAGATGCAGGAGCCAGATGGAGAGGGTAGTGGTGCTAGATTCGCTGTAGAAATTCTTGGGTACTCAAGAAGGCTGAACTAGAGAGCCAAGGGTGATTCGAGTGATAAGGAACTGACATAGATGTGGCCCGTGAGCACAGGCAACTTCATGTATCTTTAAGAGCCACCCCCTCTCTGTTAGTAAGATGATGCTATGATCACACTCTGCTTGGGACACTGGCCACTTGTGCCTTGCTTTCCTTACTAAATTGTTCATAAAGTCTTCACTGACTATATATATATATATGTATATATATATAGATATATAGATATAGATATTGTGTGTGTGTGTGTGATATGTTATATGTTTGCAGTCTGTGTAGAACACATGCCCACATGGAAGCCAGAGAATGAGGTTGGGTGTCATCCTTCCTTCTCTATCATGTTTCACCTTACTGAGAATAATATAGCCTCAAAAATCCTTTTGCCAGGTAGTAGTGTTGCATGACTTTAATCCCAGCACACAGGAGGCAGAGACAGGCAGATCTCTGTGAGTTTGAGACCAGCTTGGTCTACAGAGCAAGTTCTAGGACAAGTTCCAAAGCTACACCGAGAAACCCGTCTTGAAAAATACAGAAATAAGCAATGGTCCTGCCTCCCCTCCCTCCAGTGCTGGGTTACAGGTGCACACAGCCATCCACTCCCAGACTGTATGCAGGGTGCTCAACTCAGGTGCTCAAGCTCACATAGCAAGCATTTGCCTACTGATCTCTCACCCCTGCCTATTGTTATTCCTCAAGACAGGTTCTTACTACACAGCCCTAGCTAGCTTCAAACTCACTAATAGACAAAGCTGGGTTCAAACTCAGAAATCTGCCTCTACCTCCCTAGGGCCAGGATTAAAGACATGCAACACCACACCTGGTCCCCAACTTACTTGTTTTTGAATCAGTGTCTTGCTATGTAGCCCAGCTGACCTAGAACTCATTATGTAGCTTAGGTAGGCCTCAAACTTTCAGCAATCCTCCTGCCTTTGCCTCCAAAGTGCTGGGATTACAGGCATGAACCACCATACCCAATTTTAAGTGCACAAGTCTTAAGTGAAGGGCTGGCTGAATTTTTACAAACTAAGTCTGCCATGGCCTCATCACTCAGGTGGACACTTTCAGCTCCCAGAAGACTCTCTGTGCATGTGTCCTCCTAAGCCCCTGCCCCACTCCCTACTTCTGCACAAGGATGCCCCAATTCCTAACTCCATATGTGAGGTTTACCTTTTCTTTAAATGAACAAGTGTGGCCTGCTGTCCTGTCTCTGGTTCCTTTCCCTAAGTGATACATTTACACAGTTCACTTAAGGAACGTCTCACCTGGTCTACCAACCTGTTCTGCCGCCAACAAATATCAAGGCTTTATTCAAAGATGCTACCCAGCTGTAGTGAATGCTGTACCAATGCCCTTCCTAGCTCACATTAAATAGACAAGAACAAACATGCATCTGTGTATCCATTGAAATCATCGTGGGCATCATCTCTGTGCAAAATAAGCTGAGATGGACACAGTGAAGAGCTCCAGGGACAAGGGGATGGACAACATGTGGCACCTGTTGTACTTTGCCTCTCAGCTTTACCTTTTCTCCCCACCTACAGATGTGATTGTGGGTGGAGGAGGTCATGTACGTCAGGCCTCCTCAGTCCTGATGTACATTCCCCAGGGCTCAGTGCTTTAGTTTACAGAAGCCTGGCCCCTATGTGAACCAACATCCACAGGGTAATGCCAGTCTAGCCCCACTACTCCCCTGTCTGCACCCTTAGCCCCTGGGTGCTCCCACCCATCCTAGAGTCCATAAGGAACTCTAAGCTTGGGAAAAAGAGGGCCCCTGGAGTGAGAAAAAAAAAAAAAAAGGAGCTGGAGATATGGCTCAGTGGTTAAAAATCAATACTGCTTTTGTAGAGGACCTGAGTTTAGTTTCCAGCACCCCACCTCGGGCTGTTCACAATTGCCTGTAACTCCAGCTCCCAGATATCTGATACCTTCTTCTGGCCTCTGTAGGCACCTGTACTCTTGTGTACACAAAATCACTTGTGCATACACATTTCAAAAAGTGGAAAATAAAGCCAAGCATTGGTGGCCCATGCCTTTAATCCCGGCACTTGGGAGGCAGGGGTGGGTGGATCTCTGTGAGTTTGAGGCCAGCCTGGTCTACAGAGCAAGTTCCAAGACAGGCTCCAAAGTTACACAGAGAAACCCTGTCTCAAAAAAAAAAAAAAAAAAAAAAAAAAAAAAAACCAGAAAGAAAAAAAAAAGGTGGAAAATAAGTGGAGCAGTGGTGTCACACACTTTTATTCCCAGCATCCCAGCACTCTGGAGGCAGAGGTAGGCAGCTGAGTTCAAGGCCAAGGCTACACAGAGAAACCCTGTCTCTGGTGGTGGGGGTGGGGAGATGGCTGGACTGTCCTGTGACCTTCCAGATACATAGCTATGGGTGCAAGGGTCTCCCAGCCCGATTCTTGCTATAGGTGAAGCTCCCCACCAAGGTGACATCCCTGTCAGACAGCTACGTGGACCAGACCTCCTCAGGCTCAGTCTTCAGCAGTAAGTCCTTGATGTTCCTGCTAAGCCTAGTAGAACAAAGCAGCAGAGAGGTCAGAGGTCAGGCACTGGACCTTGGGTTCTACCCTGGGTAGCTTTGACTCTGCCCGCCCGCACAAGTGTCTCTTAAGTTAGAAGTTACAGCCCCGACACCCCATGAGGCGTGTGGTCAGGACTAAGTGGGATGGTGCCCAGCACAGGGCAGGGACCAGTTACCCTCAAGCCCACTCCCCACCTCTCTCTCCAAAACCTGTCCTTTTTCTCTCTGCTCTTCAGTGTGTCCCTGAACTAAGCCACACACCTCATGCATATCCAACAGGTTTGACTTCCAATTTTGCTATCACCATCCATGAGGGTCTGAAAGGGCAAAGCAAGAAAGCTGTTCCCCAGAAAGCTCTGGTGTGGGGTGACAGCAACAGAGAAGACTGTCCCCAGTGCCCCTTGGTGCAGGGTGGTGGTTCTATTTGGTTATCATCTCCAAACTGCTCTGTGGTGGTCCAAGTACCCTGAGACAGGCTTGTGCCTAATAACTGGTGGTAGGGATGAGTGGCCCAGTCTTTGTCCAAGGATGTGAACCCTAAGTCAGCTAGGGGAACAAGCCAGCCAGGTGCATGGGACCAGGGTAAGAAGGCAGGGGCGTGATTAGACCTTTCAAGAACTCAAGGTGGACCTCAAGGAGTAGAATATGATGTAGGAGGCAGCTGTGTATAATCAGGGGTGGGCAGGCCACAGCTGGGGTAGAGTTGGGAGGCTTGTGTGAGAACAGGGCAGGGGAGAGCCAGAAGAGAGGGCAGGGTGGACAACCCTTCTCATTCTGTGCAGAGCCAGGCACATGGAGAAGGTGGGCCTGGAGGAGGTGGGCCTGGTGGCAGCTGGGAGGATCCAGCTATGACTGGATGTGGCCTAGAAACTTCCTTTTCCAAGAGCTGCCTGGAGAGGCAGGCAGGCCTAACGCCTACTCTCCGCACTTTCTCAGTCCTAAGCCCAAGCACCTCAGGAACAGAGATGTCAGCCAGTCAGGAGTACAGGAGCACTTCCAACACAACTACATCTGAATACTCACTGCCTCGGCACTCAAACCCCAGGAAGTACAGAGAGAGCCTAGACCAGAGCAGTGCCCCAAAGGTCACCCAGGTCTTTGAGTACCTACACCAGAGCTTGACTGAGAGCATACCTGACTATGGTCAAAGACACCACTCCAGCAAGGCAGAGGCCGCCCAAAGCCCAAAGCCCAAGCCCAGGAAGACAGAGCCTCCCCAAAGCCCAGGAAGACAGGACCCCAGCCAGAGCTCTAGCGTATCAGAAGCCACTGAGGACCCAAAGCCTAGCAAGAATAGGCCTGCCCTGAGCCCGAGACAGAGGCTCAGAAGAGCCAAAGCTATTCACGCCCAGAGATGGAAACCCAAGACCAAGGGCAACAGCCAGAAACTAAGAAAGACTTTCAGTGAGCTTTCCAATGTCCGGAGTGGGAAGATCAGTAGTTCCAGTGAGGCCCAGGACCAGAGTCCAGTGCCCGGCAAGACTGAGGATACCTCAAGCTACACTGACAGTACAGCAACAAGTTCCAGCAATATTGACCCCTTGGAGCTGAGCTTACATCTCAGCAAACCCAAGTATTCTGAGGACCAGAATCCAAGCCCCAGTAAGGCGGAAGTTTCACCCACCTCTAACAACTATACTGCTCCCTGAAAGGGCCAATGAAGGCCTCACTGAGGAGAACATTTTGTCCCAAACCCTAGCTTTCAGAAGAGCTGCCTCCTCCAAGGGCAACAAGCAACCCTGGTCAATGTTCCAATCCCATGGCTACGTTTATTATCCCTGTCCTCTTCCTGTACAAAATTAAAAACTTTGAAATTCAGGCCCAGGTGTCAGCTAGAGTCCCCCTGTTTGGTGAAACTGAGGTTTCCAATCTGTCCTTGCTGGGTTTCCAGGGCCAGCCACAGGCTGAGACCTGGGCATGGAGCTCCAGGCAAGGCATGCAGGTAAAAGCCCCCAACGGAAGCAGCCACGAACTTTTGTCCCTGAGTTACAGTTCACATTGAGAAGGCTCTGGCTACAGGGCAATGGCAAGGCTGTGAGGTTCTGGGGTGCGCAGGAGTTTCCTGGTGAGGACTCCTTCCAGGGCTTTCTTCTTTGGTCTGGTCTGGCCAACACCCTTCTTCATCTTAGCTCTGTGCTCTGGGCCCCTTTTGCCAGACAGTTTAGGAAAGAGCCCTCTGGGAGACGCCCAGGCCTTTCCTGCTTCTTCTGTCCAGACAGAAGAGGCATTGATGCTACTGAGAGTTCTCAGAGGAAAAAGGTGATTCGGGAGGCCACTGTCTTGCAGCCATTGGAGGAGAAGAGCTGTTCTTCCTCTGGGAAGTAGGTGGTGCTGTCCAGCACAGCCTGAACCACTTCCTCCTGGGGCTCCAGGCCCAGCTGAGCCAGCTCATTGAGTACGCAGTGGCGCACGTGATGCCGCTGCAGTGGGAGGAAGGGCACCACAGCATCTAGCAGGTGTCCCTCCATGATACCAGAGCGCCAGAAGCCATCTGCGGGAAGGTCAGGAAGGCACAGAAGCAATGGTGAGCTCCTGAAGTCGGGAGTTCATGCCCCACTGGGGTAGTGCTGGTGTAGTACAAGCATAAGTGGGGGCTGTTTATACGCTCTATTTAGGTCACAGAGCGGGTTGTGCAGAGGCTTATGGGTACAACTATAGTGCAATGGACAATGCTTCAGATTTAGGGGTCCAGCACAATGAGTTTAAGTGTGAAGGCCCCACCTGGATGGGTCCCCAAGCCAACTTACGGTTAGGGTTGTCCAACACAGCTCGGGAGACTGCTGGCTCCAGCTCCTGCAGGCTGATGTCTTCCCTGTCCCTACGGCTGTGCCATGCCTCCAAGGCCACCTGGTTGATCTGCTCACCACCAGTATTGCTAAAATCATAAGAACCCATGACTTAGTAAGCAAAGTGGCCCATTTCCTTCTCCTTCCAAGTCCTATGATAACCAAATTTCTGTAACATGTATATGCCATGCACTTTACAATTCACAAAACAATTTGGGGATGGGAGGGGGGTTTGACATAGTGTCTTGCTACTGAAGCCATCCTCCTGACTCAGGATCCAGAGTGTTGGATTACAAGTACATGCCATCACACTCAGGCTACATACTTTTATTTATGTATGCACCCTTTAATTAGTTTTCCCTAAGAGGACAGTGGGGCATTAGCATTGACTGAGCTTCAGAAGCAGAGGACAGAGCTCAGAGAGGCTCACCAGTTTGGCTTAAGGAGTCACGGCTTAGAACTATGGCTGGGATTAGAAAGTAGGGCAGCCGGTCCCTTTCTTTTCCTAGGCCTGTGTCCTCTCAGCTACCAAAGATGGATGAACAGGCAGGGTTCCACACAGCAACAAGGGTCTAAATGTCAGAGCCCAGACAGGCTTTCAGACTGTCTAAGGGTAGTCAGTCGTCTCTAGTGACAGTCACTGGGGACAGTGAGAGGAGCTAGGAGAGCCTATGTGGGCTCTGGGGAAGAGTACCCTGCTGGGAGCACAGGCCCAAGTTGGACAGCTGCATCTCTGGCAAGTGTCCCCGACGCTGAACATACCTGATAAATATGAAAATGGCTTTGCGATAGTTGGTCCCATAGACCACCCAAGAGGGGCCCAGGAAGGGCTGCAGGACTTCCATCAGGCCAGGGGGCAGCTTGTCCATCTCATCGAAGAGGAAGAGAGATCGGCCACAGACAGTAAGGTTCCCCTGAACCCAGCTCTTGAGCTCCTTCTATGGGGGTAGAGACCGGGGCTCCAAAGAAGTCCAAGACATCCCCCACAAACCCAAACTTCCCAAGCCAAGAAAAATCCCCAGAGAAGTGATCTATTGTTTCCAGAGAACACCAAGCCCTTGAGACAGGGTAAAAGGGCAGTCCAGAGAGGTGCAGAGACTTGTCCAAGGCCACACAGCCAGTCAACACGAGAGCAGGGACACAAATCCCTGTGCCCCAATTGTCTATTCATGACAGCTACCAACATATGTGTCAGGAAGGCTGAACCTGCCCCACAGTATTGACAGCTAAGATGGATCAGGAGCAGTGGTAATCAGAGCTCGCACCAAATCAGGGTGGGAGAATGCAGACACAAGTACTCTGTAAGTAATGTCTGCCCTGTGTAATCCCCATGTCTCTCATGATGTCTCTGGTCCACAGGTGTATCAGAGAGAACAAGCTCCTCCATGACACCATGGTGAGCTCTGTTCTAGCCAGGTTTGAAGGCTGTGTGGTTTGGAGCCCTCTAGATTAGGACTCAGAAAAGGGATCCCTGACACACCCATCATACCTTGTACTGCTCAATGTGGCTGGGATGTGGGAAATGGATGATGGGGGAGAAGTGGTGCACGTGAGGGCTGCGAAGGCCACCCTGGAAGAGATACTGTGCCAGCAGGGAGCTGACGTAGGACTTCCCCGTGCCTGTCCAGCCGTGCAGGGAAAGGACCAATGGTTTGCTGGGGGCCGGATCCTGTACAAAGGCCTTCAGTGACTTCACCACCAGGGCCTTGGCCAAATGCTGGCCAGCCAGGTGTTGGGCCAGGTCACATTCCAGACCTAGGGCCGCAGAAGGAATGTATATCAAAGCAATGCCAGACCTGGTGACTCAAGTCTTAATCTCAACACTAGGGAGGCAGAGGCAGCAATATTCTAGCTAATCAAAGGCTAGCCTGGGCTTATTTTTATTTATTTATTTTTTGTTTTGTTTTTCGAGACAGGGTTTCTCTGTAGCTTTGGAGCCTGGCCTGGAACTAATTCTGTAGACCAAGTTGGCCTCAAACTCACATAGAGCTGCCTGCCTCCAACTTCCAAGTGCTGGGATTCAAGGTGTATGCCAACAACGACTGGTTGCCCTGGGTTTATAGTGAGTTCCAACATGCCTTTAATCCCAGCACTTGAAAGGCAGACAGGGGATCTCTGTAAGTTACAGGCCAGCCTGGTCTACAGAGTGAGTTCCAAGCCAACAAGGCTCACATGGTGAAACACTTGCAGAGCGAGGGAGGGAGGGGGAGAGAGGAGAGAAGGCAGAGACAGGGGAGGAAGGGAGGGAAAGGAGAGAGGGGGGAAGAGAGAGAGAGAGACAGACAGACAGACAGACAGAAAGACAGACAGACAGACAGAGAAAAAAACATCAGCCGGGCATGGTGGCACAAACCCTTAGTCCCAGCACTCTGGAGTCAGAGCCAAATGGATCTCTTTGAGTTTGAGGCCAGCCTGGTCTACATAGTTCCAGGTGAGCCAGAGCTATGTAGAGAAACTGTCTCAAAAACAAACAAAACAATAAGACAAAATAATCCAAAACCCATCAAGGCAGATGTTCAAAGGAAAAAAATATGTCCAAAAGAGGGACAGGAGCACCCACCTCAGCAAGAGCCAGCGCGGCAGCGCCCACTCGAGGCGGTTCTCTGGACTGCACCAGCCCCGAGTGAGCGCCAGCCACAGGTTCAGCTCAGACCCGTTCGCAGCTTCTCTCCCGGCGACGAGTTCGCTCATTGGAGGCCTACCACGAACCACCGAGCGCCGCTGTCATAAGCCTCTCTCCACAGGGTACCCCCAAACCCTTACCGGAGGCTCTCTGCTTCTGACCCCTGCGAGCTCCCGCTGCCCACCTCTCCGCCCTGGCTCCCCACCCCTCACCCGGCAAATTGGGCCAGAAGTCGCATTCGCAGAACGAGCCGAAGTTGCAGCGCAGAGAAGCCACGTCCCAGGCGGTGGCGGTGGCCAAGACCAGTCCGAGCAGCCCGAGGATCGAGCCCCAGGGCCGGCAGACTAGCCTAGCAAACGCCATCCGGTTGAGGCCGGATTTCGGTCTGAGGCTGCCCACCTCCTGGATCTGTAAACTACAGCTCCCGGTACGCACCACTCCGCGGAAGTCACGCCCACTGCCTACAACTCCCGGCTCTCCTTCCTCGCGTCTCTAAAACCTGGAGTTGTCTAGCAGCAGTACCGCAAATAGGTCTCCAGAGGGAGCTCGCGAACCGCCCAATCCGAGTCTGTGGCCCGCGTTTCCATGGTCACGAGTAACTAGGGGCTGTCACCAGAGAAGTAATAAAGGATTGTTAAGAGGATCACGCAACAACAATAAAATTGTGCGGAGTCTTACGCTTTGCTGAGCACCCTTACCAAGCTCTTTTTAAGAAGTTATATGACAAAAACGTGCTCATAACAGATTTTTTTTTTTTTTTTTTTTTTTTTTTTTTTTTTAGCGAGTCTGCTGGGTGTCAGGTGCCATCATACATTTACTGTTACAACACCTGCTATATCCAGGGATGGTGATACTGAATGAGACGCGGTCACATTGTTTTGGCCCAGAAAATAGTCCGCAGAGCCCGCGAGATGGCGCAGTGGGTAAAGAGAACCAATTCCTGCAAAATGTCCTCTGATCGCCACAGGTGCACACACAGACTAAATGGATAAATAACTAAATTAAAAGGCAGTAATGCAGTTTCAGAAGTCTGAATAATTCAGAAAAGTGTAACTTTTCCTTTTCTTCCTTCTGTCTCATTTCAAGGCAGGGTTTCTTTGTGTAGCCAATGGCTGTCCTGGGACTCGCTCTGTAGACCAGTGTGGGCCTTGAACTCAGAGATCTGCCTGCCCCTGCTTCTCAAGTGCTGGGATTAAAGGTGTGTGACTCCAATGCCATGAATCCAATGAACAGGCTCCAGACCGGTGGCTTGACCTGGGATCATCATCAGCCAACCCATGATTCCCCATGTTCTGCTGTTATGGCTCAGGAAGTGTCCCTTCCCCCACCAGGTGTCAGTCTCTAAAGGAAATTGGGATCCTTTATACAAATGTTTTGTTTTGGTTTTCTTTTTAACTTGGTTTCTCTATGCAGCTTAGGCTGACCTCGAACTCAAAGATCTTCCTTCCTCTGCCACTAATGTGATGAAATTAAAGACAGGAGTTACTTACCACACCCAGCTGAACTACGTTCCTTTTAAATTTTATTTTGTGTGTATGAGTGTCTTGCTATTACATGTGTGTCTGGTAGCCACAGAGGTCAGAAGAGGGCATCATATACCCTGGGACTAGAGTTAGAGATTATGAGCCACCATGTAGGTGCTGGAGATTGAAACTTCCAGTGCTCTTAACCACTGAGCCATCTCTCCAGATCCTAACTTCTAAGAGCCCTTTTACCCCAAACTCTGGGCTTTTTGCTTGTTTATGCTTCTCTGGACAGGCCCTGAACTCAGAGAAGAATGAGGAGTGGGCCCTGACTTCCTGCCCTGGCTTAGACTGATTGTCTCCCCTGCTAATGCATGAGCTTTGGTTGTCGGAGTGGCATCTTGTCTACTGTAACTCTGGCTCTCTGGATAATCTGGACAGTCCTTGGTCCTAACCAGGTATCCAGTGAAGTTTTTCACCGTTTACCAACGAAACTGTTTCTTTCTACCCAGGCCTCACAGGACAGAAGAAACAGCCATTAGAAAACTGGGTGGTGGTGGCACAAGCCTTTTACTCCCAGCACTCAGGAGGCAGAAGCAGGCGGATCTCTGTGAGTTCAAGGCTAGCCTGGGCTACAAAACTATACAGAGAAACCCTGTCTTGAAAAAACAAAAAAGAAAGGAAGGAAGAAAGCCATTAAAGTTTATTATATGAAAGAGAACATCGTTTCTGTACATGTATTTACACATCAGACTTATTTACAGCAAGATGGAGACCTGGAGGAAAGAGGAGGGATGTGGAGCCTCCCATGGCTCAAAAACAGGGAACCTCGGCAGAAACGCGGGGCAGCAGAAGCCAGTAGGGGAAACAGAGGTTCCTGTCCTTCTGGAAGGGAGACTGTGCATGTATGATGAAATTTAAAGTCCATTTGGACCCTGGAAGTGCAAGGGGATCCTGGAATTGAACCCAGAACATTCTTGGGCTGATCACAGTGTCCCTGTGGTGCTCTGGGGAAAGTCCTGAGCCCCTCTGCCCCCAATGCTGCAGAGAGGCAAGGTCTCCAGGGTCACAGCTCACTAGATCGGATGGCAGGTTCCAGCTTGTGCGACAAGGCTGTGAGGACTTTGTCAAACTTCTCATAGCGCCGGGCTTGGCTGCTGTTGGCACCCTGGCTGCCCCAGAGGAGACGCATCTGGAACTCTGTACTGAACACTTCCAGGAGCTCTGGCCGGGCCTGGAAACCTGGGGGTGGGGGCAGACATGGTCAGGGGTCTCTTCACATCCTTCAGGGACCCTTTCAGGGACCCAACAAAACACACTGAAGAGCATGGCCTTGCCGGTGGCTCCTAGTCTTCAACTACTTGCAACTCATTGTGTGGGTGGTACAGGGGGTAGAACCTAAGGCTTTGTGCATTCTAGACAAATACTCAACCTCTTGGCTACTTCAGCCCTTAAAAAGTAAGATATTCCTGTAAATTTGGGAGTAGATCTCAGAAGATCCTTCTTGTGTTTTTCTGTAAGTTACATTTTTAAATGAATATTTTTAAAAGATTTATTTATTATGTGTTCAGTGTTCTGCCTGCAGGTATTCCTGCAGGTCAGAAGAGGGTACCATCACTCATTACAGATGGTTGTGAGCCACCATGTGGTTGCTGGGAATTGAACTCAGGACCTCTGGTAGAGAAGACAGTGCTCTTGACCACTGAGCCATCTCTCCAGCCCATTAAGAAACATTCTTAAAGTGCATATAATTCTTTTATTTTTGAAAAAGAAAAAGATATGTCAGAATATTCACAATTTATATCTCTGGGCAAGTGGATAATTTTCTATATCTTTAGTGTTGTTATTATTAGTATTAGTATTATTATGAGACAATCTCCCTATGTAGCCGTAGCTGGCTTTGGGACATGCTATATAGACCAGGCTGGCCTTGAACTTAAAGAACTGCCTCTCTTCCAGGCTTGTCTTCAATTCAGTACACAACTGAGGGTGATAACAAACTCTTGATGCTCTGGCCTCTGAGTGCTGGTATGGTGGCTCCCAGGTTCTACAGTGTTTACAGTGCTGGGATTGAATCCTTTGCATGAGAGTGGAACGCCCTACTAACTGCCCCCCCCCCAGCCCTTGGGTTTTTTGTGATTTAAATAATGCCCAAAGCAGTAAGCCTTGTTTGAAGTTATTTTCTCTGCTCTTTTTTTTCAGAGTTCTATGGTCTCCCAGCCAAGGCTCCTCAAAGACTAGGCAGGTCTGTCTTCATCCTGGGCCTTGGCCAGGCACCTTGCAAACAGCTGTGCAAAGACAGCAGTTTACTTCCTGGAACACAGCACTGAGGCCCAAGGCAAAGGTGTCTGGTGTCTCTCAGCCTACTTCTCCTGATATCCTCACCAACTGCTTGTGACAAGAAAAATGGGATAAGGGAGCCAGAAGCCAAGTCTGAGGAGTGGAAAACGTCAGTGGATGGTTGAAGATAAGACAGAGGGAGGTGGAGGGAAGCCAGGGAGGATGGGATCCTTTGGGCTCAGCATCTACTCACCCTGCAGCTTGACCTCAGCGTTGGTGTGGTAGAGGCCCCCATGGTGTGCCACAGTGCGGGCGGCCTCCAAGTGGGCCAGGACAACCTCCACACCATGCTCTGTGCTGCCCCAAGGTTCAGGACCCTCAGCAGGGGCTGAATCACACTCCAACAGAGTAATGAATGGCAGCACATGTGGAAACGTGGTGTTGCTCAGTGGCGGGCTTTCTGTAGAGAGAGGCAGCAGGCATTTAGACCTGAAGACTCTGCCACCCACTATAGCCCCAGAGATGCCTAAGGCCCCATGAGGAGCACCAAGGTCACGTGGGCAGTCCCTTCTTTCCCTGGTGACCCTGCCCTGGATATGGACAGGGCGTACATGGCTGCCATATGGGGAAAAGTAAAGAAGTCAAGCTTTCACCCTCAATACCCCAGGAGAGACTTTGGCAACCCAGAGAAGGTTGAAACCTATGCAAAATCACACAGCAAGATGGGGATATAAGGTACCTTTGCCTTCATTGAGGCCCTTGAGGAAAGGCTTGAGCTTCTTCTCATACAGAATGGCACCCTCCGTATGTCGCTGTCGCAGGGTCACCCATGTCTGTTCCAGCCTTGAGATCTGGGGAGACCAGACTATGAGAGACCGGCTAGGGAAGGAGCCTCCAGGAACAGCTGGCCACAGCCACCCACTAAATAAACGCCCAGATGCAGGATGGTTATTTTCCTGGTTGTCACTCATGAAATGGGAATGGTGTTAAACTATTTCATATTCATCCAGGAAGCCATTGCAACACATTTTACAAATTTTACACACACGTACACACACACAGACACCCTGCCACCCAGTTACTGCTCTGCCTCAGATGCCCACTCTGTAAGATAGACAATACAGAATCTCCCTCACGAGGCCCATTTTCAGAGCCAGAACCAGTGAGGTGCCGTGGGGGTAACAAGCGTACAGAAAACTCATCAAATGACAGACATTGTACATCTTCATTGATTTTAAGCAGGGTGTCATGTATTGAGTTTCTGATCCCCCTGCCTCCACCTCCCAAGTGCTGGGGTTACAACCATGCTCTGCCATGCCTGGTTTACAGGGCGCTGGAATCAAAGTCTTGCTGGGCAAGCACTCTATTAACTAAATTGTAACCTGGTACCACTGTGTATTCTATTTTTAAGAAGATTTATTTATCTTATGTGTATGTGTGTGCTTTAGTGTGTTTTTGTGCATCATGGGCATGCAAGTGCCTGTGGAGACTAGTAGAGGGAGTTGGAGTTACAGATGGTTGTAATGTGGGGCCTGGAAATGGACCCTGTGTCCTCTAGCAAGAACAGTATGCTCTCTTAAAGGCTGAGCCATCTCTCTAAGAGAGCCTCAGGAAACTCTTGTATTTTCCATGCACAGTCTTGCCCTCCAAGGAACGTGC